AAACATTTTCAGTTTTTTGAAGTCTTGGAAAGGATTAAAGTTATCTTGTGATTGTAGAGTGGATAAAGACTGCAATTATTCGCCAGAAATTCATACATTCCCTGAACTTGCTATAGAAAACAAGTAAACTATCATTTCTGTATTCACTTAACACCAAAAAATTCTTCAAAATTTTTATAACGGAAACATTATACTAGGTTTTTTTTAGAGAAAAGTGGGATACCTAAATCTGCATTACAGTAGGTATACAAAATAATCTTTTTTGATTTTTTTGCAAAGTTTACTCAACACGAATAATGTAAAGTGGAAGTAATAACAGGCAATAAAAAAATTGAGAAACAAAATATTTAGATAGTGTCTGGTGGTAAAGAAAATACGAGGACCGGAATGATTGCGAAATGAATATACACACATCGGAAAAGTCTAGGGATATTTTTAAAAATGGCAATAACTTTTTTTTTAGATCGCTTTAGGGAAAAAAAGTTGACGGGTGATTATTAAACGAATGTAACTAACAACAAAATTTATTAAATGGTCAAAAATACTGAGTGCGCATATAAGCAAAACNCAAGAACTGCATAGAATGTACAAACTCGACACTTTCAGATTATTCATTTTAGCCGAAAACCTACAGTTTGTAAAAAACTTGATAAAAGATTAGTTATCGTTTTTGCAGGCATTGTTCAACCTATAGAAATCTACAGAGTGGTCGAGTGTACCAATTTAATCGAAATTAAACGACCTCATGCATTTATTTTTATGATATTTAGTATGTTATAAAAATATCCCTAGACTTTTCCGATGTGTGTATTTTGGAGGAAAACAAAAGTAAATCAAAGCTAACATATTAGTTTCGTTCAAACCGGCAATCAGCTACTATTCTACGCGCACCGTAGAACCTATATTGTCTCCAACCCTCGATTTTTCTATATCAACGACTTATTGGAAAAAAGACGAATCCAATATTTCTGCTGACGACAGCACACTTGTCTCGTCATTTCATTTGGAATCCAGACCTTGATAATCTGGAACATCGAAGAAAGGTTGGAGATTTGTCCCTCTTCTATAGATACTTTCACGGGAACTGTTCAAGTGACTTGGCACATTTTTTCCCACCAAGAGCGATACATATCAGAAATACGCGACGGACTGTGGCTACTCATCGTTTTGAGGTTCAACTCGGTACACCTCGAACTCTCCTGCGATTCAAATCCAAGCACAGTCTCCACTCTTAGGGATTTTCCTGTAGTGCTTGTGGTTTGTCCTTAAAAAAATCTGTTGGCACTTCTACTGTAAGCTGAATCGTATACTCTGGCCTAAGTTTTCTGTTGATTCTTGTTGGTATTAAATTTGAAAATATGAGCTCCGTAAAAATATAGCATCAGAAAATGATGTTGAATTTGTGTTTTCCACAAAAACGGTATGATAACGAAAATCCCCCGGGAGAAAGTTCGGCCCTTGGAAATGTGAAAACATGAAACCCATATATTTTATAAACGTCCCATATCTGAGCCACAATAGATATATCTCGGCAATTAATTCATTTTACTCGTAGTCAAACACAATACCCACCCCTGTAAGGTTGAACGACCTCTAACAAACTACCCCCATGAGAGCAGACGAAATGCGTTTCGACCTCGCCCCTAGAACGCGAAAAAGCTATATCGAAACGGTCGCTTTCACCAGCACATATGTTTTCAAGTCGTCCATGACACACACGTTAAATGCAAATGTAATAAGTGAAAGTACAAAAATAGATTATTCTATTTTCTCTGGCGAAGCGCTAGACAAAAGACATTCTTCCGTTAATCGACACCAAGGACGATATTTTTATTTCTCGAGGCGTTATGTAAGCGGAAAAAGATACGGGAAGTGTCGGTTCTGATCGTCTGCTGAAGGGAGTCGAGTTGACATATGTGATTGATGGCTTGATAGATTTCAGGAACACCTGTTGCCTGGTGTGATAATTTCAGTTTATTTGCCCTGGAAGTAATTAAGACCTTGTCCCGGACTTGGGCCTTTTGAAAATTATTACCGTTCGAACAGATGAATTTTTATTCTCGAATTTTATCTTTTTTATCTAGTCCATTGAAATGTTACCTACATTTTTCAGGCCTTAGCGTGCGTTTTTCAGAGGACACAATTTAATTTTTTTACAATGTGTTTGGGGGTTAGCTTAGACGACGTTAAGATTGTTATGAAAGAAAATTATGATATTCATCAAGTGCGTCGCATTGAATTAGTTTGCCCTTGACAAAAATATGCATATAACTCCACCGCCTATGAGGTAGAGTCTAGCCGTGTGTTATTTAACATGGTAGGCTGTAATAATTATTTTTTGTTCATTTTACAATAAAATGGCATCAGAGCAATCTTATAGAGGGGTTTTCAACGAATAATTTCCCGACAGATTTGTTTGATTTCATCAATTTATATGAATTTTACAGCGCTCCGAAGTTGACCGGGTTCTTGATAACTCGTAAGAATACGATAAAAATGAACCATTAGGCTTAGTTTTTTATTATAGTTTTTTTATGTTTTATTAACACTCCTATGTTATTATTAATTTATTATTGACCTTTTTCTCCACCACCTATGAGGTAGAGTCTAGACGTGTGTTATTTAACATAGTATCCCCAGTAGGCCTAGGTTAGGTAAGGTCAAAAGTTAGTTGTTCTGTTCGACCCTTCGCCGCAAACCGCAAGGATTTATTGTGTCCCACAATTATTCACACTCGGCCAAATAAAGCCAGTTACTTAACGAAGCCGATTAGTGAGTGATCTTTTAGATCAGATGGTAAAAGAGTGCGGCTCTGTTAAACTCTGGAAACCTGGAAACCTGATTCGGTCCGCAGCAGGGCAGGCACCAAAAAAGGATCTAATTCAGTAAAATTGACGTCATTGAAGGTAATTCATCTTGGAATTCATTTTCTTCGATTAATTTTGATATTTGCTTGATATTACTGAAGGTTTCACCAGAACAATACAGGCACACTGCAGAGCATTTGAAGCCCGCTTTTCACCAATCACACGTACCTCCAAAGTTTCCCTTGCATCTGCAGAAAATTTATTTCAGAAGGTCGAGGGGTGTTGGAGGCTTGGAAGTTTGGATTGGCAACCAAATTTTTCTATACGTTTTCCAGCCCCAATCTTCAGGATCACAGTGTTTATCGAGCCACGACTAAACCTGGTGATAAACTCGGGGACCATATAAAGAGACAAAAAAACATTCGCCACCGCTAATGAGCAAAGATGGCTCGACTTCCTCGCTGAGAAATAATGATGTTTCGCTAGAAAAAGCATGGAGAAGAGCAAATTCTCTGCCATACATGAAACCTGAAGGGACAGTATAATTGATCAGGTTTCAAAAGAAATACATTGGACTGCTTCCTTCCTAATGCCGTGAGCATAACAAGAATGTCAATGTCATCTGCTACGATAGTCACAGAATCATAAGACTGGGATGCAGCAAGCGCAGAACGGACGATGATTGTATCAGCATCTGATTCAGCTTGGTCGACACTAAAACCCACCTTTGATAGAGCAGTTTTGGGAAGCTCTATTAAGTTTGCTTCGTTCTTTTCATCACCAAGAAATTTATCTTGGGATAATGTTGGTGAGGAGTTCTTATCAAACCTTTATCTGTGTCGATTTATGCTGTGTCGTGCGACGCAAGCGTTCCCACGACTTTGTTCCTACGATATAAGAGTTTTCGGATTAGCCATCAAATATTATACTGTATATTTTTTTCATTTTCCATTTTAAGTTAACAAGTAACAGGAATTAAGTTGTGAACAATTTAATTTGCTACACATTATGTCTTATAAAATTTTCTATATTGAATATTTTATTACACGTCTCCTATCTAACATTTACAGTTGTTTGAACATCAGGAAAACTTTGAAGGGTGTGGAACAAAAGAACCTTTCAAGTTGAGCTTTTTTTGTTTCCTTGGTAGTGAGTACAACTCGTCTTATATAATAGTTGTACTCAGTATTTGTTCCACATAATTTGAAGGTGTATGTTTCAGTACAAGTGATAAAATAAGCTTTTTATCCTTTTTTGGACTGTCCACATGATATTATTTTATTACATATTATCCTTGCGGTCCATTACTGAGAGAGGCAGCACACTTTTCAACCTCAAAATTAGTTTTTGTTGTAGTTTAGAAGCTAATTGATAATTTTGTATTTTTGTAGATTGAAGATTTTATGTAGAGAAATTGGAATACACACATTATTTCTTTATCTGAAAGAGGGTATATTTCTAGGAGATATTAGTTTTTGGAAAAAACCAATTTTGTTTCCTACTTTCTCCACATTTATACAAAAATATGTGAGAAATTCCCGAAGAAAGTAAAAAAAGAAACTGAAGATTATTGAGGTGTTCGAGAAGTTCAACTTGCGAGTGCTAAATTTCCATGCAAGTAAAATTTAAATTTATGGATATGACCAATTGTATTTTTTTGGTGACAAAATTATAAACCGCTATGGTAAGTAGTTGACTTGTATTCAAACTGGTTACCTTTTTTATATATTCAAGTCTCCTCAAAACTGCCAACAATAATTTTTTTCGGGTGTAATTTTCAGAGGTGAGTGAAGTGCTAAGTGTTGAAGGCAATCCTTGTTTTTCACAGATTCAATTACAAATTGCTTTATTAAGACAAAATTTAAAGCGAGGCTTTTACCTACGGATCGGCCAAGAATTTATTTATGATGTTTTTGAAACAAGAATATGGCATTCTTTTAAATTACTCTTGTTTTGGTAATCATTGGTCCACACCAAGCCACAGACGACGTTAAGATTGTTATGAAAGAAAATTATGATTTTCATCAAGTGCGTCGCATTGAATTAGTTTGCCCTTGACAAAAATATGCATATAACTGTGAATTATTAAGAAAAATTTCGAATATCTGCGATATTTTGGCTCTTTGTAAAGTCAGAAGTAATGAAATCTTTTACAACAATGCAACTTTTATAATTCTTCATTTTTGTTTCCAGCTGGGCATAATCTACAGGGACATCAAACTAGAGAATATTTTGGTGGACGAATCCGGCCATATTGTCCTCACTGATTTCGGACTGAGCAAGGAGTTGCCGAAGGAAAACGGCGAACAAAGGGCGTATTCCTTTTGCGGGACGATCGAATACATGGCTCCGGAAGTAGTTAGGGGTGGAACCCAAGGACACGATATCGTAAGTTTTCCTATTATTGCCTTTCTAATTGAATGGAAGTAATCAAATAAGCCCTAATGGAGTTCAATCACGGCTCGTTTATTATTTTATGTCGGCCATGGAGCGGAGATATTTTTCATGTTTTGATTTAATCGCTAATTGGTAGAACGGGAAAATTGTATGGATTTGAAGTTCAAGGTGATTTGATTTTGTTGGAAATAAGATCCTATTTGAAAGGGAAATGTCACGCATTGTTCCTCAAATATGTAATAGATTCGACTGATACTTGATGAAAATCCATAACGTATAGGCGGATTTCCACCAAACTGACAAAACCACAACAAATCAGCAACTGTGTCGATCTCGACAAAACAAAAACCTCAGTTGTCAAAATGAGAAACATTTCGAAGACTTTGTGTCGTGGGTGACTGTTTTTGTCAACAACGAAATGTCCCGTCGGCAGGCGGAAAGATCAAAAGGTTTCGGTGTCTTGTCTGTGTTTTTGCAAACAAAGTTCGCTTTGTGGAATCGGTTGGCGCTAGCAAGAAGCAACTATCTGTAATTTTTATTCTGTTCGAAAATTTTTGGTCCCAGTACATTTAATATATTCTCAAATTCTTAATTGGACATTCTTGATGATCTCAGTTCCATTTGTTTCTGCCAAAATTTTACCGTTCCATAATCTACTCGTCTTCTTAACAATGATCACATCTAGAATCTTGTTAGTTTTCGCTTTCGTTCTTTCACTCAGAAGATTCGATTATAAAGAAAATCGCAGCCCATTATAAAAACATAATTACAATAAGTTTATAAGATAAAAATAATACATATAGAATTAGCAGAAGTAAAAAGACCTAATCTCAGAGATGGAACAGAAAAAATGTCGAGCTGACAACTTGCAGAATTGCATTTGACACTCATGTTATGCAGAGGTGAACGTTTCAGAATATCTGTACGTGGTGTTGGCAGATAAAATGGATTACCCACCCTAGAGGTTGGTCTAGGTACATTGAAATTAAGTTTTTGCTGAATATGTGGGTTAATAATTGAATTATCAATCAGTTTAAAAAAAAAAAATTGTGGAGTGACAATAACGACGCGACGGCAACTCAAGCTATTCATAGCATGTCTAGCTAACAATACATCATGAGGAAATCCCAATTGGTGGATAGATACTGTCTGATCTATAGGAGAGTGGAAAGTACTGATTCAACTTCCTCTGTATACAACTGATGATATGGATTCCAGATTATGAATGCATATTCTAATTTTGATCCGACGAGAGCATGGTATAAGGTTTAAGTGGAATATCGTTTATTAAATATTGATATAAAAGTGGACGATGTTTCAGTGTGTACGTCATTACATTACATTTACTCGCATTAAAAGGAAGATTATTGCGAAAACACCATTGCTCAACACGTTTCAGATTGAGGAAGAGGCAGTCCTCGATGCCATTGATCTCACAATATAATTTCAGGTCATCCGCGTATATCAAACAGTTGATGACAATGATCTCAACTATGTCGTTTATGAAGACGTTAAAGAGAAGTGGACCTAGGTTGCTTTCTTGTGGAACACCCGAGGTAGCTGCATATTCCACGGACTTGAAGCCATTGAATATAACATACTGACGCCTGTCAGTGAAGTATGATATAACAAGTTGGATCAGGGTCAGAGAAAAGTCGTACTTGTACAATTTCGATAGCAGTAATCCGTGATCAAGTCTGTCAAACGCCTTAGAGGAGTCCGTATATATGACATCAGTTTCGGATCTTCTATCAATGGTTTCAGAAATATATTGGCAGAGAAGGCATGATGAAAACTGTTCTTGCTGGAAATGATAAAAAACGAGCGAGTCCATTTGGAAATCCGGATATAATCATGCCAGGACAATTCCGCTTTCTGCTTGGATACGTTTGTTGCGGGTTGAAATGCACACAAATATGTCTTGGCACAATCATGTCGCTGGAACTGCAAAGGCTGCTTCTCAAAAGCTTGGAATACTGTTCCGAAAACTGAGCACACCTCAGCAACTTTTGATGCTTTATAAAGCTCAGATCAGATCTTCTTTGAAGTATTGTTCACATGTATGGAGTTCCGCTCCTAAGCATACTCTGAAGCTGCTGTATTTCATCCAGAAAATAGTCATCCGCCTGATTAGAGATACGAACATCAGTCGCGACCTTGATAGTCTGGAACATCGAAGAAAGGTTGGAGATATGTCTCTCTTTTATGGATATTTTAACAGGAGGTGTTCTTGGCACATTTGATTCCACCAAGAATGGTACATATCAGAAGTTGCGACGGACTGTGACTGCTCATCGTTTCGAGGTTCAACTCAATACACCTCGAGCGTCACTTTTTAAGAGATCTTTCATTTGGAGAACTGCGTTTATGTGGAATAAAGTTCCCGAGAACTTAACATGTGTTTCGCTATACAATAGATTCCCCAGGCGGGTTCCTACTGCCTAAATTCTACCTAATTAGTGTTTTATATAATAATAATTTGAATCGCATGACCGTCTACCCAGTTGATGACAGGAACAACTCATACACTTATTTGTTTCGTTACCGACCGGTACTTCTCATCAGGTAGTGGAAACATTTTAATGGGCTACGGAATCCGTACCGAATTACCGTTTCGTCGTAACACTTTTCACAAGTGAATTTACTCTCTTCTTTCTTGAGCATTCTTTACTTTTTATTGCCGTTATATACGAACGCATATTATCAGATTCTAAAGGAGGTCGTTCAAGATTACGGAAACCTATTTAGTAAACGATGCCGTTGGAACCGCCTTCTAGCATAATCACGTCCATAATTGAATAATTGACGAGTCGGCAATTAAAAACGTTGATATTGTACTGTCAGCTTGTAGACTATTTAAATTTTAAATAACCTCGACAAGCAGGTTCTTCGAGGATAACTTGAAGTTGCACAGAAACTAGATTTTTTTAGATAATATTGAAAATATTTTATTGATTATTTTGTGTGTACATTTAATTTAGCTACCAAAATCCACTTGTTACTTTCTTAGGAATAAATAATTATACCAATAAGGTACATACACAAAATTAGTAGCATTATTTTCAAGCCACATTTCACATAATAAAAGAATATTACGTGCCCACTGGTTAGATTTTTATAATACTGTCAACAGTATATGTCTAACGCACACTAAACACTGAGCGTTTGTCCGATGAGAGAGGAGGAGCCTGCCAGACAGACTGACGCTGTAACGCGTTAGATAACGAAGCGGTTTACTCTCCCATAAGAAGTTATCAGTTGAAAAATATCAAAATTTTGATTAAGTTTTTCCTTCCAAACTTTTTTTTGCATTTTTACTTGCACAAACATAATAATTATATTGTTATCGATATATCACAAGACACAATTAATGTATCACGTATCATCCAGAGACAAACTGAAAGTGTCTGGTTTTGGGCCAGAGGTTGATCAACTTTGTTTCTCTTACTGAAAGGTGTTTGTTGGAGATTTGGCTTTCTAAATCACCTAGAAGAGATGGACGCTATAAATTTGTATGCTGCTGCAGAGGAATGAGTGAAAGTTTACAAAAACGATTCAGAATATTTCCTTATTGATGAGTTGGTTCAATTTGTGTCTTTAATAGACTTATACAAAAAAGAATACTAAAAGACCAATGTAAGGAGCTATTTCACTACCGCATTCTTGAAAATAAAAATTTCAAAGCTACTTTTCCGAACATTGAAATCATACTAATAATATACTTGGTTTTGATGGATTTATGATGAAATTACAATTGTTATATTGTGATTTTTTACATCCGCATCAAAAGAATGTTGTTCACCGATATGAAACGCCCAATGGAAACCGAAAACTGCCAATCAGTTCGAGTACCTGTTCATGCGCGTCGACACCATTTTTTCACCACATTATCTAAAAAGAGGTCACGAGTTGCAAGACAATTACTGTAACTGAACACCAGAAACTAATTTTCGTTAGATATCGAGGAATACCGTGACATTTTTCACGAAATTTCGTTTCCAGAACCAAAGGAGGTCACCGCGTTTAATGGCGATGACATTTTATGAAATTGTAGCTGTATTTCGATGTTATTGTGAAATATTGCATGGAATTGCGTTGTGTATATAATTTGGGAAAATTGTGCGTATATAATTTAATTGCCAGAATATCGAGTTGGTAGCTGGAATTGTCCGATTAATTCATTCTTTAAAATTATTCTGTTTGACCTAGATAATGACATTGGAATTCAAAATATTATCAGGTTGAAAATTCCCACCTGAAAAAGTAATTTATTCAAATCCACATTCATATATAACCTTCCATATATTTTAATATGTTTTTCTTTACATATTTAAATATCGACCAGTTTGTGAAGCTTCGGTCATCTACAATTTTAAGAACGGTTTCAACAATACAAGTGAATTATTGCATACTCTATAACCAAGAAAAATTAAAATTGGTTTACATTCATGTAATTCGAACAACAAACTGAGTTCACAGTGAATCACGGGAATGAATTCCATATCTTAGAAAAATCAGCTTCAAATCGTAGCATTTTTCCTTTTCACGTTTTCACGTTATTCATATTTTAAAACTTCAACGTGCGTTTGGCGCGTGACTTTTTTTCACGCTATTGGAGCCAATCATTTGTTTTTCTTGGTACCGCTTTCGAAAAAATTCTACATAAATATGTTTTTGTCGTCAACGACCTCTTAATTGAGGGTAATTAGGAGAAAACTGAGCATAACTGGAACAGATGGATTGATTGAAATGTAATTATTGTATCACCAAAACCGATGTCGATATTATGGTGAATGCGAAACTCATCGCATGAAAGGATTATCCTTTACCAAAATTATGGCGAATGTGAAAATGCGGGTGACAGGTGAATACAATTTCTTATCCGAGGGCTTGTTGGCTTAATTCTGACAAGGATATGTCCAGCGTGGTATTAGCCGGAGAAGTAGTTGTTTTCCAACAAATCCTACTGTTTAGGTACGTTGGAAGAGATA